ACCCCCCCCCCCGGGGGGAGGCGGGGGAGCCGGCGATGCCACGGCAGGCAGAGACACTCACGGTGATGCGGGGGAAGCTGGGGTCCTTGCCGGCCTCCAGCAGGATGTGTGCCGGGGTGGGGGGCACAATGAAGGGCCCCCGGGGACTGCCCGGCACCACACCCTCTGCGTAGCTAGCGCTCCGTGTCCGAGGGGTCTGGGAAAGTAGCGGGCCAGGCTGGGGCACGCCGGACGTACAGCCCTCCGGGGCCCAGGCATGGGGGCACCGGCTCCGGAGTGGGCAGGCGGGGGGCATTATCCACTGGGGATGCCTGGGGAGAGAGGGGACAGTGTCAGAGAGACTGGGGATGTACAGGGATGGAGTGTGGGGTGGCAGGCAGTTTGGGGTGATGTGAGGGTGGGGTGAGGGCTGTGTGGGGTGAGGGACATATGGGGTGAAGCAGGGATGGGGTCAAATGGGTCAGGAAAGGATGGGGGGGAGTCGAGTGTGGGGTGAGGCAGGAATGGGGTCAAGCAGGTATGGGGCAAGTTGGATATGGGGCACAGAAAAGATGGGGTAAAGCAGGGATGGTACAGGGTGAGGGGTGGGCTGAGGTGGGTACGAGGCGAGGTTGGGACCGGACAAGGCAAGGATGGCTATAGGGTCAAGGGGGGACAGGGCTGGGGGCAATGAGGGATGAAGAGAGGTGGGTATGAGGTTGGGGAGGGACAGGGAGAGGTGGGATGGGGGTCTTGTACCTCAGGGGGTGGTCCGATGATGGAGAGCAGGACTGGCAGCAGCACCAGCCCATTGAGCAGCCCTAGCAGCGTCAGGATGGTGAGCACGGCAAAGAAGTACCTGGGGAGGCCGCAGGTAGAGGGGGTAAGCAGGCACAGCCGCCATGAACCCTGTTCCACCACAACCACGGCTTCCCACACCACACCACACATCCCAGCCCTGCCACATCTCCCCAGCCTCCATGCAAGATGGGGTGGGTGACCCCAGCAAGACACATCCTCACCAGGAACCTCAAATCCCCACCTCCAGCCAGGGCGGGCTGCTGTGCTCACTAACCCCCATTGCCAAAGCTTTTGGGGTGCAGCAAGCAGCTGGTTTACCCCCCTCCAGCGCTCACCTCATGATGAAGTCAAACTCGGAGCCGGCCAACATGAGGACACCCAGGAGGGTGGAGACGGCACCGTCCATCACGGGGGCAAAGGTGTGCTCCAGGGCCGCAGCTGAGCGCACGTTCCTGCTCCCCGCAGCCGTCAGGAAGCCCTGCATGGAGTGGGGATGTCACACGGGTCTTGCCCCCGTGTGTCACCCGTGACGTGGCCACTCAGTGGCACACGGCCAAGGGGGTGAGGGTGCTGGGGAGTGGGAACTGGGGTGCCCTGCAGTTGGGCATGGGTCTGCCTGTGCTCACCAGGGCCACGTGGACGGTGAACTCCACACCGATTCCCACCGAGGCGATGAGGATGACCACGGGGATGGCACTCAGCTTGATGCCCATCAGCCCCATGATGCCAAACAGCTCCACCGCCATCATGGCCAGGATGGAGACCTTGGGGGGGCAGTGGCGTTAGTGAGGTATGGCTCTGACTGTCTGTCCCTCCGCTTGGTATTCCCAATCCCACCTCTCCATATAGGCAGCCTCCCCCCATTGCCCCTTTTCCCTCTATTGGGGGTGTCCCTCTGTCCCATCTATTGGGGGTGGCCCTCACCCTCCTCTGCATGGGTGTCCCCAAACCCCTGCACACTACACATGTTCCATTCATAAGGGGTGTCCCTGATGCCTCCATATGGGTCCCCCACTCGCTGCCACATCCATATGGGTGTTCCCCTCACCCTCTTCTGCATTGATGTCCCCAGACCCTTGTACCTTCCATATGTTCCCTTCATAAGCTATGTCCCTGATCACTCCATACAGGTGTCCCCCACCCACTGCCACCTCCATATGGGTGCCTTCCACCCAGGGTGCCCCTGGCCACCCCATCAACCCCATCCCCACGAAGCAAGTACCCAGGACCACCCAGCAGGATGGGAGCAGGGCTGGATGTCCCCGTCCCCATGCATCAGGAGGCCAGCACAGCTGGTCACCCCGCTGTCCCCACACACTGGGGTGTGTACTCACGATGATGCCGGCCGTCCAGGGGTTGAGCAGCAGCAGGGCGCAGACGAGGAAGGTGCAGGCCAGCAGGATGCTGATGGCCAGCAAAAACCAGTGTCGCAGACCGATGTACTGCTCCCAGAAGAGGAAGGGGTAGCCGCTGGGGTAGCTCAGCACCCCGTGGCGCTGGGCGGCCTCCCGGCAGATGGCCCGCACGCTTTCGATCGCCTCCACGAAGTCGGCCGTGCGACGCAGCCCGCTCAGGTAGAAAGGGAACTGGGCAAACTCCAGCGGCTGGGCTGCTGGGACTGGGGAGGAGAGCACGGGCAGTATGGGGGTACGGGCAGCAGGGGAGTACAGGCAGCATGGGGACACCCCAACCACATCCGCCTGAGTGCAGCCCGGGCAGCCCGATGCCTGGCTGGGTACCACAGGGCTGGGGAGTGTGGGGGGAGCAGACTGGGAGCCAGGAGGAGGGGGTTTCTCTGCCGGCAGGATGCTTGTGGGGTAGGGGGTCATGGAGATAAAGGGTTTTCCCTGCAGGGGAATGCTTGTGGGGCAGAGGGGGAACAGAGTGGAGGGGCTTCTTTGTGGTGAGATGCTCATGGGCTGGAGCAGGGGTGTGCTGCTGCATGCTAAGGGCACAGGGAGTGTGCGGTGGGGTGCTTGGTGTGGGGTGAAGGGGGATGAGCGTGGGGCACGGGGAAGCAGGGCAGTTTCCCTACTAGAGGATGCTGGTGGGACGAGGGATGGGCAGGGGGTTCTCTTTGGGGTGATGCTTGCAAGGCAGGAAAGGTGCAGGGAGCTGGGTGCTCTGCAGGGGGGTGCTGGGGGGCAGGAGGGGACCGTGGGGAGCCCACCACGCTCACTCACTTCGCAGGTTCTCGCCCGTGGTGTCGTACTTGTCATGGATCCACTCAGGTGGCGGCGGGTAGAAGTTGGCCTGGGAAGCGGCAAAGCCCAAGGGGTCATTGCTGGCCCACACCGTCAGGCAGATGTAGAAGGTGTCAGGGGGGATGATGCCATTCTCGTCCACCAGCCGCCGCGTGGTCAGCTATGGGAAGAGAGCAGGAGCGGCCGTGAGCAGGGCAGTGGCACAGCGTGGTCCCCAGCCTGGTCATCCCAGCTCCGTCCCCACGTACCTGATTGAAGTTGAAGGGCTCCTTCTTGTTGCCGGTCTGGATTAGGAGCTTGTACGCCAGCGCCCCATCTTCAGAGCCATTGCGGTAGCTGTCATGGGTGATGCGCCCAGCTTGCCAGTCCCGGTCGAAGGTGGCCTGGAGCCCTGGGGACGCAGCGCAGGGGGTGAGCATCCCTTGGGGCACACCACCCTGCACGGCATTCCCTGTGCCCCAGGGAGCGTGGCGCCAGTGGGATGGGTGCCCAGTAACCCCAGGGCTCAGCTTGGCATTGCTGGGTGCCTTGGGGACAACACAGGACCATCCTCCCCAGGGTGGCACACACTAGGGAAGGCATTCCCGGGCCAGCGGGGAGGGTGCAGGCTGGGGAGAGGGTCCTTGGGCAGGGGAGGTCATGGAGAAGAGGGATGTCCCTCACCTCGCAGCCAGTCCTGGAAGTAATGGAGCCACATCTTGGGCAGGTCGCTGTTGCCCTCCCGCACCACGTACTTGACGGTGCTGAAGGCCTGGTGCAGGCTGAGCAGGGCGGCTTGGGCGCCCGGGTAGTGGAAGCCACCCTTGGTGACGATGAACATGTTGTAGAAGGAGAAGTACTTGAACTGGGCCGAGATGAAGGCATGTGCCTTGGTGTCCCGCGGCACGATGTCCGTCAGGTAAAGCCCGTCGGGCACCATGGTGGTGCCGTAGAGGCTCAGCCCCAGCAGCGCCAGGAACAACACCGCCACCACCACCTGCAAGGACAGTGTTGGGGGGGGGGGGTCAGGCAGAGTCCCATGCCACCCACCCACCTCGGGTGGCACCGCCGGGGCCGTGCCCACCTCACCTTGGTCCGGGTCCGCAGGAGGAGAGGGGCGTACTTCTCCCGGGCGAAGTCAGCAAGGCTCCAGCGGCAAAAAGGCAGGGGGACACACTCCCGCCCACCCTTGGCTTCATCTACCTGGGCCAGCAGGTCCCGGGTGGAGCTGGACGAGGTGAAGACCTGAGAGCCCAGGGGGTCGGTGGGGGGCAGGAGGACGGCAGGTGAGGTGCACACCTGGGAGGTGGGTGGCAGGACGGTGACGACATGGTGGCCTGAGGGGTCGCACCGGGTGAAGGCTTGCACGGTGGTGGTGATCTGGGTGCTGGTGGCCACGCCGGGGTGCCCATAAGGGGAGGGGTGGCAGGCGTGGTTGTCATTAGCATCGGCGAGCTCCTGGGGTTGGATCTGGATGACCCGTGAGGAGCAAGGGCTGTAGGGAGAGAGGAAAGGAGGAGAGAGTGAAGGAGGAGAAGATGTTGAGGAAGAGGAGCAGCCCCAGACCGTGCTTCTAGGGGGGAACCTGCGGGGTCAGCCCCATCCCAACCAGCCTGGCGCTGGTACCTGTAGAAGCAGCAGAGGATGTCGAGCCGCCGTTTCTCCCGGCGATACAGGTCCAGGCTCAGGATGGCAGGGAAGACGAATAGCACCATGGCAAAGTTGAACACCACAACCACCGCAGCCTGCAGGTAGGGGGAGATGTCAGAGCTGGGTCTGGTCACCCCTTCCCACCCCAGACCCCAGAGAGGGACCCCAGCTGAACCTGGAGGGAGAAGGCGCGCAGGGCAGGGATGGGCACCAGGGCTGCCATGAAGAAGGCGATCATGTTGCTGACGGAGGTGAGAGCCACACTGGTTCCCGTGCGCTTCAGGCACTCGCCCGTCCGCTCCTGTGGGGACAGAGGGAGGGGGTGATGAGAGGGTCTGCAGGAAGGCGTGAGGGGACAGGGCAGCCCCCGGGCAAGGCTCAGCGCTCACCTTGAAGGGGATGTGCTGGCTGGTCTCAGTGAAGGCATGAGCCAAGAGGAACATGTCGTCCACACCAATGCCAAGGGCCAGGAAGGGCAGGACCTGACGGAGAGCAGCCAGTGTCAGTGGGGGAACATGGTCACCGCACAGGATGGGACTTGGCCACCCTGCAGCCTCCAGGGTCCCACCAGCCCCACGGTATCTGGCTCTTCCCCCAGCACATACCTGTGTGGTGGCTGCATTGAAGGAGATGCCCAGCAATGAGCAAAGCCCCAGGCCAGAGGCCACGGAGAGAGCCACAAGCAGGACCCCGGCCAGGCCCACGGCCCCTTGGGACCTGGAGCAGTCCCACCGCAGCATGGTGACACAGGCGTAGGCCAGCTGGAAGAGCACAGAGGGTTAGTGGAGATGGTGGGGTGAGGGAGGGACGGCGGGGGACAGAGAGAGGGGGCACACGCACCATGAGGAGGTAGCCCCCAGCCACCCGGATGACACTGACGTCAGAGAAGGACTTCATGATGTCGTTGAGCGTGGTGGTGGAGAAAGCGTGGACGCTCTGCGTGGCATTGGGCGGGATGGAGTCCTGTGCCAGCTGCCATAGAAGCACCCTGTTAGAGGAGTCAGGACCCCCCCACTTCCCAGTACATCCCCCCCGAGAACCACCCAGGATGTCACCATCACCACTGAATCATAGAATTGTCTAGGTTGGAAGGGACCTTTAAGATCATCAAGTCCAACCATCAACCTAACACTGCCAAAACCACCGCTAAACCGTGTCCCTCAGCACCACGTCTACCCGTCTTTTAAATACCTCTAGGGATGGCGACTCCACCACTTCCCTGGGCAGCCTGTTCCAATGCTTAACACTTTCTGTGAAGAACTTTTTCCTAACATCCAATCTAAACCTATCCTGGCATAACTTGAGGCTGTTTCCTCTTGTCCTGCCACTTGTTACAAGCACGAAGAGGTTGACCCCCCACCTTTCTACAACCTCCTTTCAGGTAGTTGTAGAGGGCAATACGGTCTCCCCTCAGCCTCCTTTTCTCCAGGCTAAACAACCCCAGTTCCCTCAGCCGCTCCTCATAAGACTTGTTCTCCAGACCCCTCACCAGCTAGGGTGAGGGACCCACTAGGGACCCACGGCCACATGAAAACCTGGGCACAGGCGGATGCCACACAAAGGCTCACCCCTCCCCAGTCCCACATGGGGGCTGTCCCCAGCACCCACCTCCACGAATTTCCTCTGCCAGGCCTCCAGGATGGCACCCGCCTTCTCCTCGCTCCAGCTGATATCATGGATCTCATAGTCATCCTTGAAGTGCTCAAAGAGCTGCCGGGGGCTCATGAGGAGGAACATGGTCTGCAGGGCCTCGGCGCTGGGGGACAGGCACGCACCTCGCTGGGACCGGCTGCAGCACCCCGGGATGCGGGAATGGGTCCATCCCCCACCCCACGGCTCCCAGCCCCACCATGGACACCCAGGAGAGCACCCAGGCATCCTGCCCCCCATCCATGCCCTTGCTTCGAAGCACTGCCCCACTCGCCAGCCCCATACATTTGCCAAACCACACACGCTCTCCCGAACAGCCCTGCAACCCCTCTTGCAGCCAGGGCAGGTTCCCATGGGCACTGGATGAGGATGAAGATGAGGATGAGGATGAGGATGAGGATGAGGATGAGGATGAGGATGAGGATGAGGATGAGGGGAACCCGCCCCAAACTGTCCCAGGGGCGAGTGCTGTGGCAGGGCCTCTGTGCCATGCCTGGGGACGCCTGCGCCACAGCGGCTCTCACCGTAGCAGCTTGCCCTGGGAGTCTTTGGTCGTGCCACCTAAAATCAGCTCCTCCTGCCAGCGCATGAACTTCCTGGAGAAGCCGTGGCAACCCCCTGAGAGCTCGGCTGGGATGTCGGGGCTCTGCAGGCAGAGGGGAGGCATCAGAGATTTGGACCATGGGGTGGGCAGAAGAGCAGCAAGCCCCCCGCAATCCTCCCGGTCCCCATAAGCCTGCCCCACCTCTGCCTTGTCCAGCAACTCTTTGAAGCCTTCCAGTGACGTGAACTGCCCCAGCTCCTCCATCAGCTGCAGAGGGTCCAGGTTGCTCCATTGGATGTCCGGGCGGCCCCTGGAGAGAGGCAGGAACCGGGGTGATGGGGGATGCCAAAACCCACACGGGGTACCACCACCATCACTGCCACACCATCCCATGGGTCCCCTCAAAGGAAAGGTGTGAGGATGCAGAGGAGCAGCATCAGTCCCCAAGCGCATCCCCTACCCCCTCCTGGGCCGCCTGCGGCATCCCCCGTGCCCCGTGTGGCGCAGCGGGCCGTGCCCCGAGTCAAGTAGCGTGCCTGATCCTGTTAGCCCGGGACAAAGCGGGGGGAGCCGGCCCCACCGCCTGGCCCCGCTTTGTGCGAGCAGTCAGGCCGATTACTGCCCGCGGGCTAACATCTTGATAGAGGAGAGCAGAGCAAGCAGGCAAGGGCTTCCACCATCCCCTCTGGCCTTTCCTGCCATCTCCCCCAAAGCTGGAGGTTTTGGGGCTCAGCAGAGGTTTTGGGGGCTCAGGACGGTGCTGGGAGCTGGGCACAGAACAGGTCCTTGCAGGTCCAGTGGGACCCCATGGGACTTGGGTACCTGGGGAAAGGGGCTTTTCGGTTGCCTGCAGATGCTCTGCTCCCTCCATCCCAGCCCACGGTGCCGGGGGCCAGCTCCCAGCCTCGCTCGGCTTCTTTTTTAAGACAGAAAGGACACACAAAAAAGCCAATAACCCAGCCCAGCGCTCCAAAGAGGGGAAGAAAAAGCCCGGAGCGAGTGTGGGCTCTGGGGAGAAACGCAGCCTAATAATTCATGAAGGCTGGCTGGGCCGGAGCCGGCCGCTCGAGATTCCCACATACCAACCGGAGCTGCTGCTGCTTCCAAAGAGAGCCCCTTTTATCTGCTTTCGCTTGCTTCACTGAGCCAGGGCAAATCCTTTTGTCTTTCCATAGATTGCTGCTCTTTGTTCTTCCCAGCTCCCGCCCCGCTCACCCCTCGGCGTTAAAAAGGGGGACGAGTCCCCATGGGCTGGCTGGCGCTCAGCTGGGGTGCCTGCCCGGGCACCCGCTCGCCCAGCTGCGAGGAGAACTGGGTCCCACCACCTCTGCGAGCGTCACCCTGCCTGCCAACGTAGCCCAGCACCAGGATGCTGCCCACCCCGGTGGATGATGCCACCAGCATCCCGCTCAGCACGGCCACCCGAACCCCGCTCGCTCCTGCTCCCGGCTGCTCCCCAGGCTGGGATGGGGAGAACCTGAGGTGTTGGTGGGGGGGCAAAGCCGGTCCCCAAGTCCTGTCTGGGGATGCTGCGGCCCCTTCCCCCTCCTCCCATCCAGCAGCAGCCTGAATAAGGCCACTATTTCATCTGTTTGGCAAAGGGCAGCTTTCAGAGCAGCATTAGCATGAGAAAGCGCAGGGCTGCGTTTGCTGACAATGCACAAGCCGCCCCGGCTCTCCCGGACAAACACACCCGTAAACAGAAGGAATGTTGGGGAGGAGGGGGGGGGTGCTCCCCCTGCCCAGCCTGGGGTCCCCAGCCCCACCACCGCGGTGCGGGGAGCTGGCTGGGAGTGACCCGCCACCCCCTCCGGGGGGCTCTGCG